AATGAAGCCCCCAAAAGGTGAGGTTCAGAGAACTTCCAGGTTGGGGAACCAGAATGCTTCCATGTTGTCACTGTGCCGAACCCTGAACTCCATGTGGGCAGAAGCCCCTTTGGGAGCTCCCACTAGGTCTCTCTTCCTGTGGCTATTGACTGACATCTTTTATTTTTTTTAAGTAATGTAATTACTTTTTTTTTTAAGTAATTTTTTTAATACCCAATGTGGGTCTTGAACTTACAACCCCGAGATCAAGAGTGGCAGGCTCTACTGACTGAGCCAACTGGGTGCCCCAACTGGTATCCTTTCATGTCATTTGAATTAAGCCAGTACTCTAGTGATGGATTTCCTGAGTTCTGTGAGTCACTCTAGCAAATTAATAGAGCCCAAAGAGGGGGGTCGTAGGAACCTCTGATTTAGAGCCAAGAAATACAGTAACAACCTTTTGACTCCTGCCTGAAGTGGAGGGTGGTCTTGGGGGGACTGAGCTCTGAGCCTGTGGAATTTGATGCTATCTCGGGGTGGAGAGCGTCAGAATTGAGTTGAATGCTCAAGACACATGTTGGTGGGGGGAACTCTAAACACATCCCCCACCCACCCACCCACACACACACACACACACACACACATGCATCGGAATTGGGTCCAGGAACCCACTGAGGTGGTGGGGCTTAAGTGAGGGGTACAAAGCACCTGTTAGGACCTGGGCTCTAAGGCCCCTTCTTGTCCTTGCCTCCCCCGAGACATGGATTCTTTCCTGCCTCCACACCTTTGCCCAAGCCCTTCTTCCCGCCTTGCGTGCCCTCTCCCACTGTCCTAGTCCAGAGCCCTCCTGCCTGCAGCCCCTTGTCAGCAAGCCCACGACACTCGTCCCCTCCCTGCAGGGTGTCCACATCTTCCCCCACGATGCCACCTGAGCCAGACCCTGCTGGCTCCCTCCTGGGCCCTTCCTGAGGTTTCCAGGAATGTTCCCCAGTGCCGCCCTTGAGGGAGCTCTGGGCCAGGAGGAGGCAGGCGAGAAAACCAGTCTCCGGGAGAGTCCTGCCTTGCTGCATTCTCGCTCTTTCATGGCAGAGACCAGCTTTGGGGTGGGGGGTGGGGGGTGCAGCTCTGACTGTGTCACAGGAAGGGGGCCGCTGCCCAGAAATCTGATCCCCCCAACAGTGGAACCAACTAAAGCTGGAGGAGTCTCTATAGATGGACTCTTCCCAGCAGCCCATTTCACAGGAAGGGACACAGAGGCCCAGGGTGGGGGCCTGGCAGTCTCAGGTCTCAGTGCCAGGCCCAGATCCGGCCTTCTCGAGGCTGGCCTTCTCGAGGCTCAGAGGTCACAGAGGACTTCCAGGGATACAGAGCCGGGTGCAGCACGCCTGTGGGCACGGGGAGCACTGCAGGTGACAAGCGGCCGGGAGACCAAGCTGGGTGGCCAGGGAGGGCTTCCCTGAGGTGGGCATGTCCCACAGCACCCCAAACTTGATCTGTCCCAAGCCAGTGGGGGGTCTCCGTCAGAAACCTGGCCCTCCACCACGTCCCACCCATCTTACAATCACTTCATGGCTTCTTCATCCTTGGCACGTTTGCTCCCACTTTGTCATTCACCTCCCTACCACAGGCCACTGTCATCATCCTCCACTCAGAAGACTGCTTCTATTCTTGTCTCCTTCTTCCTCCTGAGAGTTGCCATTTGAATGTAACCTCACCACCATGCTGGAAACTCTGAGGGCTCCTCATTGCCCTGGGGACAGAGACCGCAACCTGCACAGCTGTGCTCAGCCTCTGCAGGCAGCCCCTCCTCCTCACCACACCTTTGGCTTTGCTCTGCACTGTCACCATGGCACCTCAGGACCTTTGCACAGCCTGTTCCCCTCATGGGCCTGGCTCATGCTATTTATCCTCTGCCCCAAACTGCCTCATCCCTTCCCATCCACCCCGGAGACCTGCTAATTCCTGGAAAGTCTGGAATCTACCAAATTCAGAGGGCCAGGCCCAGATCTGACACAGCCCACCTGGACAGTTTGTTGTTCTTGCTCTCCGGCCATGAGCAGCTGCTGCCAAGTAGGTTCCGGATTCGGTGCTAAAAATAATCCTATGACCCAGACAGGAAGAGCCAACGGGGACACAGATGCTTCTGGGAGGGGCTGGCTGGAGCTTCGGGGAGGCCTTCCCACTGCAGTTTGGGGTCCATGTGTGGGAAGGGGTTAGGCACTGAGCTCACATCTTGTATCATCAGAAGGAAAACACAGCAAGGTCAGAGAAGCAGCTTGAGGAGCGGGGCTCATTGTCACCTTGCCCAGGGACCACAGGCCTTCCTTCAGGTCCCTCCTCAGCGCAGGAGAGACTGCAGGCCCAGCTGGCAGGTCTGCCATACTGCTGCTTAGGACAGGCAGCCAAATAGGCCCCAGCATACTGGCTGCCTGCATCTCTAGGCCCCTGGGACCGTGTGGTGTCCAGGGCTGCTCTCCATAAATAACTGTTTGCAGATGCCTGCATCAGAGAAGTGGACCTGCCCTGGGCCTGAAACCAGACAGGAAAAGCCTGGACTGCTGACAGAGGTCAGCCTCAGGCCCTGCTGGGCCTCATGCTGGGCCTCAGTTTCCCCACCTAAGAATACCCAGGGTTCTGAGGAGAGAGCATTGAAATTTTTTTTTTAATTTTCATTTATTTATGATAGTCACAGAGAGAGAGAGAGAGAGAGAGAGAGAGAGAGAGAGAGAGAGGCAGAGACACAGGCAGAGGGAGAAGCAGGCTCCATGCACCGGGAGCCCGATGTGGGATTCGATCCCGGGTCTCCAGGATCGCGCCCTGGGCCAAAGGCAGGCGCCAAACCGCTGCGCCACCCAGGGATCCCGAGGAGAGAGCATTGAATCCAGCCACTGTTCCCCTGGCTGTCCCGTTTGGCAGGCAGTCCCCACCTATCCTGGGCCCCAAGCCTCCTGGGGAATGTTTCTCCTTCCCCAGGCCAGGCGCCTGCCTTACCAGCCCCAATCAAAGGGGAGATAGACGCTCCTGTCCACAATGACAGGCCCTCCTATTAGCCCTGGCCTGACCCTGAGTGGAGGGCCCAGAGCTTGCTGAGTGCCTGGAGGCAGGAATACCTCCACTTCCCCACGCTGACATGAAACCTGACCTCCCTGGATGGTTCTTATGACTGGCAGGCGCCAGCCCTGGTGTCTGAGGGCCTGCATCCCCACCCTGCTGCCCTGCCTCCGCCGGGACAGGACCTACTCTGCGGGGCCCCCCTCAAATGTGACCTTGGCCTGCTTTGCTGGAAAATGGAGGCTGCTCAAGAGGGCCTCCCACCACCCAAACTCAGCATGTTGGTCCAGTTCCTGCTGTATCAGGCCAGATCTGTTCTCACTCCGGAGCCAAAAGCACATCCCCCTTCAATGCCCCGCCTCTCCCTCCCCTTCACTCCCCTTGAACCAGGGCCCCCCTGAACCACTCCCTAGGGAACCCCTCTTAGCACTCTGGTTTTCTTAGGATCCACCTGAAGATACCTTTGTCAGCTGGTTCTCGGCCTTTCCAGTCCTCTCAGGGGAACTTGGGGCCCTGTCCAGGACATTCTTCATCTTCTACACTTACATACACACCTGAGCTCCCCACATTGGTAAAGGCACCTCTGTTTGTGCACCTTCCTCTCCCTCCTCCGCTCCATGATCCTGGTGACAGGGACCTTGGCATGGCTGCATCCCATTATCTGTCCCCAGGCCACGTGTCCATGAGCTTCACTGCCTTGCTCCTGAAGCCCCCTCAAGCCTACCCTGGCTTCCCTGGCCAGGTCTGCCTTCCCTAACTGTGGAAGGGTAAGCTCTAGGCCTGGCCTCTCTCCTCTTTTCCATTTAGCTTCACCCCTTGGACACCTCACGCAGGCCCAAGGCCACAAATGCCACTGGTCTACCAAGGACTGACAGCCACAACTGGACTGTCTGCCCGACCTCTCCCCCAGCACCACTCTTGGATTTCTCCAGGTGGATGTCACACAGACGCCCCAAACTCAACGGGGCCAGAACGGGATTCCATCTGCCTGCCCTTCCCCAAAGCGTTCATCTCAGTAAAGGCCGCCTCCATCCACCCGCCGGTGTTCAGACCTGCAGGTCACCCTCGATTCCTCTCCCACAGCTCTGTCCAGCCCCTCCGCGACTCTCCAGGCCCTACCCTGCCCAAGCCACCGCCGTGCCGTGCAGCCTCCCGCTGCTTACTGATCCCTCTGGCAGTCTACTGCCCTTGCAGCAGCCACAGGGACCTTTTAAAGTGACAATCACGTGCCGCTTCTTCAAGGGGGCTCTCCAGATCACCCCTCCCTCCCCGACCCTCCACTCCTGGCGTTATTCGCGGCAGCTCAGCTCCGGTGAACACCCGCTCTCAGTGAGCGCAGGCCTATGACTGCCTGTCTCCTGTGTCCTATCGGCTGCTGGATCTCCCGCGTCCAGGGAAGCTCCTGGCACACGGTCGGTGTCCAATCAACGGTGGACTTAAATGAATGAATGAAGGAGTTTCTTCCATCAAAATGACGAGGGCCCGGGTGGGCACGCGGGCTCCGGGGAAGAGTCCCCACGGGAGTCGCCGGGGGGTCAGGTGGACGGCGGCGGGAAGAGGGGTGGTCGGACACAGTGCCGGGCGCGTCCTCTGTGCTGGGCCAGGTGGCACTGCCTCTGGAACTCGGGCGGGGACCGGAAAGGCGGGACCGAGCGGCCGCCAGCCCAGGGGGACTCCGAGCGGGCCCGCCCCTTCCGGTCTCCTCTCCGCCCGCGAAGGCGCCCTAGCCCCGCCCCCAGAGCCTGTGGCCCCTCGCCATTGGCTCTCCCTGGCGGGCCGCGAAGAGCCCGGCTCCTCACTGGCCGCACCTTCTCCCGCGTCGCCAAGGCCGGCACCACAACAACCGCCACGTGCTCAACTGCGGGGCCCGCTCTTTGGTCCCGAGTCCTGACCCGCCCACCCCCCGTCCCGCCCCCGGCCGCCCGCTGCCTCCTCCTACTGGCGACCCGGCCCAGGGTCCCTCCCCCCGTCCTGGGCGCGCGGCGCCTAGGACGCGCATTGGCCGAAGCCGGGAGCGAGGCGGGGCTTGGAGGCGGGTTTAAGAGCGCGCCGCAGGTTGGGCCACGCGTGTCCGAGAAGGTTCAATGGCGTGGCAGGGGCTGGCGGCCGAGTTCCTGCAGGTGCCCGCGGTGACGCGGGCCTACACGGCGGCCTGCGTCCTAACCACGGCTGCTGTGGTAAGCTGGCCGGGCGGGCGGGGGCGTCTCCACGGCTGCAGCCGGGAGGGGTGTCCCCATGGTGACCGCTGGGTTCCGGGAGCAGCACCTGACGCACCCCTGGTTCCGCAGCAGCTGGAGCTCCTCAGCCCCTTCCAGCTCTATTTCAACCCGCACCTCGTCTTCCGGAAGTTCCAGGTGAGGCTGCCCCGCCCGTTGCACCTGTCGGCCGGCCGCCTGGCCCGCGCCTGACAGCCCGCCTCTCCTCCGTCCCCGTAGGTCTGGAGGCTCGTCACCAACTTCCTCTTCTTCGGGCCCCTGGGATTCAGCTTCTTCTTCAACATGCTTTTCGTGTATCCTGCGCCGCGCAGCCCCAGGCGTCGGGGTGGGGCGGCCCGCCGGGCTGGGGGGCGGCTCGCCGGGCTGCGGGAGGCCCGGAGCGGGGAAACTGAGGCTCTGCCGGGTGGCACTTCCTTCACGGACGCCGCAGGTTCCGCTACTGCCGCATGCTGGAGGAGGGCTCCTTCCGCGGCCGCACGGCCGACTTCGTCTTCATGTTTCTCTTCGGGGGCGTCCTCATGACCGTATCCTTACCGGGCGCTGAAACTTCAAGCCGCAGCGCCTCTGGGCCCAGCCTGTGTCGGCCATGGGGCCGACATGGGCACCCCGGCCGGAGGGGGGACAGGGCGGTCCCCGCCAGCTCAGGATGTATCTAGCATACATCATGTGCTCAGCTCCGGATGCCAGCGCCAGCTCTCCAGGCCGTACACACCACCACAGGGCCGGGTGCAGCCGAGCCAGCTGGGGTGCTCACAGGCTGGGGCCCAGAGGACCAGCAGGACGGATCACGTGGAGCCTGAAGGCCACAGCGTGGCCTCCATCGGAAGGGCACATCTTGACCGGGGTGTGGCACATAGGGGGGAGGAGGGAGGATTCCAGGGGTCCGGGGCAGGGGCTCTGAGACCTGCACCAGGGAAGGCCCCCCCCACACACACACCTTGACTCTGGCTCAGCTGCTGGGGCTCCTGGGCAGCCTGTTCTTCTTGGGCCAGGCCCTCACAGTCATGCTGGTGTACGTGTGGAGCCGCCGCAACCCCCAAGTGAGGGTCAACTTCTTTGGCCTCCTCACCTTCCATGCACCATTCCTGCCCTGGGCGCTCATGGGTTTCTCGCTGCTGCTGGGCAACTCGATTCTCGTGGACCTGCTGGGTGAGCCTGCCTGTGCACCTGCCCTCCCCAAATAGGCGGTCTGGCACCTGCAGCCTCAGGCTGGCTGCTGCTGTCCCAGAGCCCTCCCTCCCACCTGCACTGGATCTCTCACCTGTCCTCACACCCCCTCTTCCTGCCCTGCCAGCTCCTCTGTTTTTCTGGCCCCTTGAACTAGCTAGCCAGCTACAAGCTTCCTTTCTTCAGGCCTGATGTACTGATGCTCATGTGGGTCCTCACCAGGGTGGGGATAGGTGTCAAGATTCCAGCTTTGGCTCCTATTTCTCCCATGTTCTCAGGCCCTTCCCTCCCCAGGTCCTGCCCACTTCTGGGCCAGGTAAGCCTGCCCTTCAGGGTCAACCCTGGCCCCATCCTGGGCTGGCAGTACAGAACATCTGGCAGGTTGTCATGGGTACTTACGCTGTGGGGCCTGAGGTTACTTGTCCTGGCTGTGCCTCCAGAACTGCACATGGAGGTGGGGAGCAGGCTATGCTGGCCCAGGCTCCGGACTGTGGAAGGTGGCCTCAGCTGTCCTTGGCTCTCCTACAGGGATTGCGGTGGGCCACATTTACTACTTCCTAGAGGATGTCTTCCCCAACCAGCCTGGAGGCAAGAGGCTGCTGCTGACCCCCCGCTTCCTGTGAGTGCTAGAGATGACATTTCTCCCCTTACCCTCCCTCAGATGGCTCCCTGCCCTAGTGGGGACCCCTACTGGCCTCAGCTCAGTGCAGGCCCCTCCCTACAGGAAGCTGCTACTGGATACCCCACAGGAGGACCCCAATTACCTGCCCCTCCCGGAGGAGCAGCCAGGACCCCTACAGCAATGACCCTACCCAGGGCCAGCCCCAGGGCCCTGTTTTCCTGGCCTCTGGCAGGCCTCCATCCCACCCCTATCTCCCACTTACAGGGAGAGCAACCTGTCCTGGAGACCGGGCTGGTGTTCAGGGCCAATTCAAATAAACAGAATGACCTGCATTTCTCTGCCCGCAGCACTGGCTCCCTGCCTTGGCTGGCCACACCCTTCCATGCTGAGCAGGTGCTGTTGGCCTTGACCTGAGGCCACCAAGCCTGGCCTGCCCTCTCAGGCCAACTGTAGATGGTAGGATGGGAGACCCAGAGGGGCTCAAGAACCTGCCCAAGGTTCCCCAGCAGCTTTGAGCTTATAGATAAGCTTGGGGTTCTCACTCCAACTTTGCCAGTGCCTCAATGGAGCTTCATGCAAATCCCACCCGCACGAATTTCTATTCCCTGCCAGGCAGCAAGGGACTTGCCGAGGCCTCATTAGCTGGGATGTCCCTGTCATGCCAAGCCCAGTCTGCAGCCCTCAGGCTGATGCCGCATTTGGCTCTTCCTGTCCCTCATCAACAACATGTGGACCTTTACCCCACTTTCTAGCAGTTAATGGACTTGGCCACGGCTCCATGGGGTCAGGTGCAGCACAGGGCCAGGATGGGGTTCTTTGCCCTTCTTGTGACCACAAAGCTTTGAGAAATTTTTACTGCGACAGAGTTCTACAAAGTTCTCTCCCTGCTGTTTTTAACTGAGGACCATGGGAGCCTGATCTGATCCCTAGCAGGCACCAGACAACATGGCCAACTTTCCTTATTGCCCTAGACCCGTCTGAATTACGGTATTTTTCCCAGATGATCAGCAGCAAACATAAGGGCTCCTCCAGCCATAGGTTGTCACGTTCACAGAAAACACAGGTATTCACCATGCAGTCTGACCTTAATTTTGTAGGGAAACCTTGTGGAGTCACAGCTGGCTCTGCAGCAATGTGGGTCAAGAGTGCTCAAAGTGAGGGCTCAGCCCCTGGGCCTGATGCACCGGCCCACCCAGAGGGGCTGAGGTGGGAAGGATTCATTCCATCCCATCAGTTGTAGGGGCACACGACCAAGCAAACCCTTCAGCAAGGGAGCCCATTTGTCTCCACGGCCAGGGAAGCCCAGGCCTGGAATCTTCCTCTTTGTTCAAGGCCTCACATGAAGCCCAACTGTCTCCTAAGTGTGGGCCTCCAGTAAGTTGCACTCCTGGATGAAGGGCAGGGGGCTTGAGTACAGACTCCCTGGGAGCCAGGAGCTGTCATGTCCCAGGACATCAGAGGACCCCCAGCCCAGAGGGCCAGGCGCATCTACCCTGGCAGTGAAGACCCCAATTCCTACTCAGAGCTCTGCCCTCGGCCAGTGTGGGACTCAGACTGGGAGCCAGGAGCCTCATGCCGCTGCCAGGCTCCTGGGGGGCAGAGCAGCCCTGACCTGCAGGGAAGACCTGGCAGCAGCTGAAGGCACCAGCCCAGTGCTGGGTGTCTGGGCCTGTTCTCCCCGGTAAGACTGGCTATGTGCCCAGTCCACCAGCCAGTGCTCGGCACAGTGAGTAGACCCACACATGCCACCCTCATGGAGCCCACATCCCTTCTGTGGAGTGGGGACACTTCCACGTTAGACAAGAAGCGGTTCATTGGGGGCAGAGCTGAGATGAAGCCCAGGGCTATGCCTTCTTCTCAACACACCATATCACCCCACAGCTGGCACCAGGCAGCATGCTGCTCCACGTGCCTTATTCCTCACGACTGACCTGACAGAGAGGAGCTGGCCTGGCTCATGGCACCAGCCAGGGGTGGAGCTGGCCCCAACCACCTGCTGCTGGGAGGTGTGTCAAGAGCGGTGCACATCGGCCAGGGCTGAAACAGCCAGTCACAGGCCCTCGGGCATCCCTGCTGGTGATGCCCCTGGAGCCTCCACAGAGGACACAGCTGTTGCAAGGGGCTCCAGGGAAGCAATGCTCCTGGTGGGGGGCGGGGGTGGTGGGAGGGGGAGGTACGACAGCCTGGACACAGCAGAGCCCAAGGACAGCAGGAAAGCCTAAGCTGCTCCACAAGGCCAAGCAAAGGGGATGTGGGGGTGGGGGCTCTCACTGAAAGGTAAGTGGGCCCCCTGCCCTGTGAGCCTCATGACTTCACTTCTGCTCGTCTTTATGAGATGGCACAGCAGGTGGGTGCCAGGGTGGGGGGCCTGAGGAAAAGCAGCACTGTGATCTGACTGGCCTTGGATGCAGCCTTATTAGCTCCCACCTGTCCACCTGGGGCTCCTAGGCAGAGAAGGGCAAGTGTGCTGGCATGCCAGCCTTGGCCACACACCACCCCAGCCATGCCCTGCTCCTTGTGCCCATTCTTATTTTTTATGCTACCACTTTGAAAAAATGAACATGACCTGTTGTCTTTATTTAAAAAGTGTTGCTAGCCCTACCTGGGGCTCCTATACAAAAACAAAACACAACTCAAAAACGAGGCCTCTTTCTGACCAGAGACTTGGGTGGCGACTAGGGCCCAACAAATGGAATGTGTGCCCAGGGGAGGGTGACCGGAAGCCCTCCCCACGCCCCATACTCCTCAGGATGGCCCCGGCCTGTCCCTTTCCCTCCTCCTTGCCAGAAGATGAAGGAGAGGCGGTCCGATCTTCTGAATGCTCCGTGGGAGCCATGCACCAATGGGCCGGTTACCAGGCTGGGGCAGTGTTGGCAAGACGCCTCATACGCCTGCAGGAGGAGAGTAGGCAGTGACCTGGAGCCAGCTTCCAGCCCTGGGTGGCTGCCCTCCCCCAAGGATTCTAGTGCAGCCAGTGGAGTGGGGACAGAGCTAGGACATGGTGGGGGGATCCCCAGCCCCCTTGCTCTGCTTGAGCCTGTCTGCTGCTCGAGGCCCTGGAGCTGCCCTCTCTCAACCCAGCCCACCTTTCCAGGGCTCCAGGCAGGTAGGTCTGGGTGGTGGTCAGACCCAATCTGAGGGCTTATTTTTGTTTCCCATAGGGAAACCTACCCAGGGGCTACATTGGGTCTTATCACCCAGGGCCCGTCTCTCAGAAACCAGGTCACTGGGTCCCTCCTCTGCCTGCAAGACATTGCCTTTGGGCAGAGCCAACTTCAAGGGGCCTGGAGGGGTGGGGGGTACCTTGTGTTCCTGTCCTGGTCTCGGATCTTCTTTTCCATCTCAGCATCTGTCAGAGTCTCCAGCAGTGGGCACCACTGGTCAGCATCACCTGTGTTCCGGATGGCAATCTCCACCGTGGGGAGGGGGTTCTCACTGTGGGCCGGGGATGGGGGGTGGTAACTGCTGGTTCACAGAGTAGCAGCTAGAAAGGCCCCCCAGACACCAATGCCCACCCCCTGTTAGGACACTGGAGCCAGCGCATGGCAGGAAGGCCCAGGCCTTTCCTGCTACCTCCTCTGCCTCCTCCTCACTGGCCATTTCCATGCCCAGCTCCTCAGAACAGCACTCCTGACAGGAGTGGCCCAGTCATCCACCTGTCACCTGAACCTCAAGGCACAGTCCCTGGAAATGCCAGGTCCGGGCAGCCCAGGTGGCTCAGTGGTTTAGCGCCACCTTCAGCCCAGGGTATGATCCTGGACACCGGGGATCGAGTCCCACATCGGGCTCCCTGCATGGAGCCTGCTTCTCCCTCTGCCTGTGTCTCTGCCTCTCTCTCTCTCTGTCTCTCATGAATACATAAATAAAATAAATCTTTAAAAAAAATTCCTTTGAGATTTCACATTAAAAAAAAATATGAAGGGATCCCTGGGTGGCTCAGTGGTTTAGTGTCTGCTTTTGGCCCAGGACATGATCCTGGAGTCCCGGGATCGAGTCCCACATCGGGCTCCTGGCATGGAGCCTGCTTCTCTCTTCTCCTGTGTCTCCGCCTCTCTCTCTCTCTATCATAAATCAATCAATCTTAAAAAAAAAAAAAAGAAAAGAAAAGAAAAAGGAAACGCCAGGTCCCCCACAACAACAGCTTCTCTTCCAAGCACTCTTAAGCAGGCCCCTGCTGTCTCTGGTCTGAAGCCTGGGCAGGGCGCTCCCAGCAGAGGTGGTTCCCTGTAACCAGGGCACTGGGGAGGCAGGGGAGGGCGGTCGGCCCCACTCTGTGCCCGGGGCCGAGACCCACTAGCCTTGATACCTCATCACAGAAGGCTGCTGGGCTTACCTGCTCCTGAATATTCCATACACTTGCCCCTCAGTGCATTTCACTGGCCCAACTAAACTCCAGAGACCTGGCCTATTTGCTTAGGGCAGACAGCTAAGCCTGGGACCCTTGTCCGCTGATCACTCCACGGCCCTTCGATGACCACCAGGATGGCCACCTGTGCACCCTCTTGCTAAGGAGACACAGCGGTGGGGGTGGAGGTAGGGGTGGGGGAGATACACACAGGAGTGCCAGGGGAGGGGATCCGCAGGTGGCTCAGCGGTTTAGCGCCTGCCTTTGGCCCAGGGCGCGATCCTGCAGTCCCGGGATCGAGTCCCACGTCGGGCTCCCTGCATGGAGCCTGCTTCTCCCTTTGCCTGTGTCTCTGCCCCCCTCTCTCTCTTCCTATGTCTATCATAAATAAATAAATAAATTTTTAACAAAAGAAAAAAAAAAAGGAGTGTCAGGGGAGGAAGGACACAGCTGAGCTGTCAGCTCCCTGGGCCTTGGTTTCCAAGCTTGTGCGACAGGAGGCTGAAGAGGCAAGAATGCTTCAGAGCTGACGCTCCAACTCCTGGCCTGGGAGGCAGGCCTCAGAGCATAGCCCTAACAGTGATCTCTCCCACCCTCTTCCCACCGTCACCACCCCGGCCTCATCAGGTCCTTTTCTCTCTGCTCCAGCTGGGCAGCCTGCACCTGCCTCCTGAGGCTCGGCAGCCCCCAGAAGGCCAGCCCTGCTCCCCTGCAGCCCTGTCAGATGTCTGCCCAGTTGCAGCCTGGAGCCTTGAAAGACTCAGTTCGCTCTGGGCAGAGTAAAGGCAGGCAGAGCCCAGGGGAGGCACCCAGAGGACCCTGACCGGATAGCCTGGGTTTTGATACTTCATTTGGAAAAAAGGAACAATACTGTGGCTGTGAGAGCTTTTCAGAAGATTACAGTTAATTAAAGCAGCCAATGTATGTCCACTGAGCCAATTTATGTCTAGGGGCCAGGAGCCTTGTTCACACGGTCTCCCTATAGCTTGTACCCAAGGCTGTGTGTGGCCCACTGGAGAGGGTCATCCACCCAGGCCCGACTAGAGGCCCTGCTCCTCCTGCTGCCAGCTGGTATGTTCTGGCCTCCCTCGTGCTCCTCTCCTTATCCTGGCATCTCAAGGACTGTGAGCAGATGGGGCACAGCCCAGTGCATGGACTGAGGCCATCACCAACCACCCAGGGCTACCCTGGCTCCTCTGCAGAAGTGGGGCTCACCTCTTGCTGTCGGAGCTAGGCCCCAAAGCCCAAGCCAGAGCCGGTGACTCAGAGGCCAGTGACAGGGGAAGTGCCAAGCCCCCGCCTGCAGTATCCTGGGGCCAACCCTCCTCAGCAGCTCCTGACAGTGCTTCCACAGCCAGTGCAGTGGTTTGGCAATGCTGAACCACCTAGCCACAGACCCAAACATCATCCCTCACCTCAAGGGCTCCCAGCCGCCTTCCTCGGGAGGACAGACATGAAAGGCGCCAAGCCCACGCGGAAGGGAACAAAACATGTTTTCCTCTTAATTTAAACAAAAGCTCGTGAGTAGGTCCTGGAGGCCCCTTTGTTTACCTCCCTTTGGCTCTGGGAAGATTCCACTCCAGTGGGTTTGTTCTAAAATAAGAACTGCTCTATCCAACCCTGTAAGAATGGGCCTGGAGCCAGCAGGCCTGCTTCGGGTTTGGGACAAACACAGAGGCGGGGGAGCCACCTTGCCTCCCACTCATCTGAGGAGATTGTGCATCATGGCTTCAAGGCTACATGGGATCCCAGATACTCCTACCCCCCTGCAGAGTCCAGGTGGGGACGCAGAGCCCAGGCAGGGGAGGCTGTGGCTGAGGTGAGAGAGTGTCTGTGGTGCAGCTTGTAGCAGCTTGTAGACTTCTCTCTGTGTGACCTCACTTTTATGCCCTCACGTGATACAAAATGCCTGTCAAGCAGCACAACTATGCCCACTCCACAGACGAGGAAGACAGAGCCTTTGAGGAAAATGACTTGTCCATGGCCACTCAACAGAGAGAAGGGGGAGACAAAACCTAACATCATCCTCTTTATGGTCAACTGACTTGTCCGTGGTGCCAAAGTCCACACCACGGGAAAGACCAATCTTTCCAACAAATAGCATTAGGACAAGATGACCTGCTGGATCAGGCAGTGGTTTTGTGGGTATCACATTAATTTTAGTATATGTGCTGCCGAAGCGAGCACGTGGGTATCACATTTTGTAATGCTTTTTAGAGCATAGGTAGGGGCGCCTGGCTGGCTCAGTTGGTGGAGCTTGATCTCGGGGTTGTGAATTTGGGCCCCACGTTTGGTGTTGAAATTAAAAATAAAATCTTAAAAAAAAAAAAGTGCGAGCAACAAAAACCAGACTATGTTAAAACTTTTGTGCTTCAGGGGTACCTGGCTCAGCTGATGAAGTGTGAGACTCTTGATCTTGTGGTTGTAGGTTCAAGCCCCACGTGGGGTATAGAGATTACTTTAAAAAAAACTTAAAAATACAAAAATAAAATTTTTGTGTTTCAAAGGACACTGTCATGAAAGTGCAAAGACAACCTGCAAAGTAGGAGGAAATATTTGCAAATCACATCTCTGATATGGAGCTTGTATCTAGAATATATAAAGAACGCTTACAACTCAATAATTAAATACAACTCAATAATAAAAATACAAGTGACCCAAATAAAAAACAGGGGACCTGAGTAGCCATTTTTCCAAAGGTGATGGACAGGTGCCCAATGGCACCCAAGATGCTCAATGTCATTAGTCACCAGGGAGAAGCAAATCACAACCACAAGATCCCACTCCTCCCTCCTCTA